AGATGGCAACTATTTACATATAACAGGTAAAGTCATACCAAGGCTTCTTAAACTTATTGGCTTTTATATTATTAATCTTTTTTTATATTGATGAATTTTTTTATTAAATTTTCCAATCGATGATATTCCATTTCTTGGTAAAAATTCAGGTAAGTTTTTGATTTTTTTCACTAATTTGCAATTGAAAATTCAGATAATCATATTTTATTATTTTATACGGTTGAAATTTTCTATTATTTAGTTGGATATTTGTCATTTCAAAGATAGTCGTGACTGGAAAATGATCGGATAGGTCGCAATTTAAAACTTGAATTTTTACACAAGTCAGACAGCAATTAAGGTCTATTACTGAACTTCCAATATTAGCAACACAAGTAAATTCAGATGGATAGTCATTTTTTATTCTTCCGTTTAAAATTATTAATTGCAGTTGTTGAGTATTTTTTATTAATTGAAGCCCCAATCTGTTATGTTTATTATCTTTTGATTTTCGGTTAAAGTGGATTAGATTATTTAGTCCTTTATAATCTGAACCCATTAGCTGCACAATTCTGGAATTAAAATCACCAAATAACAATACATAAGGAGAGATATTATTTTCCCATTTTTCGAGATTTTTGAATATTTCATTGAGTAAGTCGATCCGGTCAGGCGGAATGTAAACTAACACCCAACAATTAACTTTTTATATAAATATTTCATATCAGTGTTATCAATTTGTAAAAAGATTAGAATATAATTAGTTGCTTTTTGTATAAATTTTTATACAAAAAGCAAAATTTTTGTTATAATAAAATATTGTGCGATTATTTTCATATACAGTAGAGCGTCGTTTATCCGAAAGTCAGTTATCCGAAAGAATTTCAGTTGGCAAATTTAAATTTTTGCTAGTGCTGGGGCGCTGCAATCTTTGGCTATATCTTGGGCTACTCCAATATTCTTTCTGTTGATGTGTGTGTATTAGCTGGCAGCACTGGCACTTTTGTGTTGTGTTTTTCTGGGGACTGTGTGTATAATTAAAATTAATATGTATTTATTTTTTAGAAAATACAAGGGAAGTGGCGCATCCACCGCTTCCAATGACGGCACGCCACTGATTAGTATAAGTCGCGTTTTAGTGTATTGCGCGACCATCCAGTCCAGTAGGTAGGGTGGTCGGCGTCACGTGACAACGCTCGGCTCCAAACGTCAAGGCGTCGGGAGCGAGGCTACCAGTCGCAACAGGAAGTACCGCCATTTCGGTACACGTATCTGAAATTTAACCGAATCGGAATATGATGTAAATTTAGGTTTAGATACCAGAATTGGTAGCGACTTCGAATTTGCCATAAGTTTTAATTAAGTCGCAATTTAAAACTTGAATTTTTACACAAGTCAGACAGCAATTCAGGTCTATTACTGAACTTCCAATATTAGCAATACAAGTAAATTCAGATGGATAGTCATTTTTTATTCTTCCGTTTAAAATTATTAATTGCAGTTGTTGAGTATTTGTCACGTCGAGGACGTTGTTTGTAAAATATGTTCGAACAAGTGTAAAATAATGTATAGACGTGATAGAAAATTGTGGTTACGAGATGCGAAAAACATAGGCGGAACAGTTCGGCCTACAACGGCACCTTTAAAAGAAAATGCGGTAAAATTTCTGGTGCGGCAATATTTGTCGTTTTTATGGCACTACGTAGGGTTAGAACGTAGTACCTCTGCAAATTCTGCTATTGCTGCTGGAATTTCAAAGAAGGCAGCAGTCGATTGGTGTAATTACGTACGGTTTGTAATGCTCGTAGCTAGGGTTTCTTAAACGGGATTTCGGGATCACGGTTGATTTTTTTAAACCGGGAAATTTTTCTTATCCCGGGAAATCCCGCAAATTTCTTAAAAATTCACTTTTTCCTTATTTTGTGTTAAGGTTGAGGAAATTTTGCAGATAGAAAGTGTAATTAACTCATAAACTGTCAGAATACATTTGTATTTATTAATTTTAAACCTACTTATTAGTTTTTTTAAATTTTTGCTCGTTATGGCATGTCACAAATGGTCAATAATCAATACGTAGCTTATTTGTGGCAGGACTCTCAAAATTCCTTACTTGTAATATCTGGAATAATTGTGCTTGTGCTGTCAATTTTTAACCATGCCCAGTAGCTTCAATAACTGCGTAACGCCAAGTTGTACAAAGTGGGCAAGTATGAAGTTTTTCTTCATAACCTGATTATTAAAGACAAACGAACTGCCGAATTATTTATTGGGCTATGATGTTTCTATTAAAGCAGTCGAGGTAGACAAATCAAGAATACCAGAGAACAAAAGAAGTACTACAATCTCGAAAACGAACTAGAAATCTTTCAGGATACAGGTGAAAAACACTTAATATTTGTCTTCTCTTAAATGCATTAAACACGATTCCACTCGCATCAATTCAATCGGAAAGGGCATTCTCGGTAGCAAGACTTTTCATTACTAAAATAAGAATTACATTGACTGATCAGAGTATCAACCATCTTTGCTTTTTAAAATCTTATAAAAATTTACAATATTTTGTATTATATTTTATTTAAAAAACGAAAATTACCTTCATTTAGAAGTTTGATCTAACTTCATTTTTTAAATTTTTAACTCAATTCAAGGCATTTTTGTTGTTGTTGTATGTGTTACTGTAAAAGCCAGTATATTGGTAAATCCTAGGTTTTACTCGTAAATGTTCAGATTTACCAACATGAGTTGGTAAATGTAAAGATTTTTATAAAGTGAGATAATTTTCCGGGCTTTTACCATTAGAATTTGGTACATGCTAGGTTTTACTAAAGACGATTAGTAAATGTTGGTTATTAAAATACTCAGTTTTATTTCCAAAATCATTTATTGCAATTATATAAACAGTCAACTTACTAAGTCCTATTTATTAATAACTAGTGAAACAGTTTAAAAATACTTTAACATAAAAAAATTAAATTATCCTGTCAAAAATAATATAATAGCTTACGTTGGCTAAGCTAATCAGTAATCACAGTATTTTTTCTAATCATTTGGTATTCATTGTCATTTAATAAAAGTAAAAAAAAGGATTTTACTTGTTACAACATAGAGCTATCATGGCATTTAGAATTAAAAAGTACTGTAATCCTGATGACTTGCAAGCGCACTCACTTCTTCGTTACGCATTTTTTTAGGCAGTTGCATTTCTTGAAACCTAGTCCTCCGGTCAAAGACAATTTTGCGACAACTTCTCGAAGACTCACTTCTTTATCTTTAACAACTTCTATCTTGATAAAGTCTTCAGGGCATGAGGTAAATTGATTTTGTGTATAAAGCTGCTTTAGTTCTCCAATTTTGGTACCTAGTTGGTAAAACTCGTTATCCTTTATATCTATTACAACTGCAATAACGCTTTTTGAGTCGGTTTTAGTTTTGTCAATTTCGGGCACTTTCAGTCTTACATTTTGGCCAATTTTCACATTTAGATATTTATCAACAGACGTAGCTTTCATTTTTTCAGCTCGTTTCTCCAAACTCACTTTTGCGTTGTTTCTTATTGTCACTACAGATTCTAACTTTTTTGATATTGGCTCTATTGTTACAAGAACTTCCTGAGACTCAATCGTGTTTTCTGTCTCTGAATCGGTATCTCTGAACCGTTACATTGGAATCATCGGTTCTTTGCTTCGCCTTCATCTTCTCAGTAATAATCATTTCATCTTTTTGTGTTTTATCGTTGACAGTGCTATTGTCTATATCCCCTTCTGACTCATTTTGAACATTGCTTTCTTCCTTGTCCTCTTCGATTGCATTTTCGATGTTATTATTTTGTTCCGTATTGTCATGCGAATGCAACAACTTCTCTAAATCTTCTTGACATCTTATAACTCTAATCATATCACTAGGGATTGCTGAAGTTGCAAGGCTTATTTTCATTGAACAGCCAAACATTGCTTCGTAGGGAGAACATTTCATTCCCTCGTGATATGCTCTATTTTTCATCACCACTTTGATAACTGATTGGTTTCCATCCACGTGCTCAACATATTTTCTGTTTTTTTTTTTTTTCACAAAATCTGGTATAATAGTTGATAAATACTTAGATTTAGTATATGTCTCTTCAATCCGAATGGTTAACAAACGGTAGACTTTCTTTCAGCTCTGAGGTTAAGTATTCGTTTATTGTAAATTACATATGCATTTCAGGCTTGTATGAGCCCCTCTTCAGTGTAAATTCTACACAAAATTTAAAAACAAAAAATCAATTTACAAAATTTTTTTCGGTGTAAAGATTAACTAACATTAAATTCTTTTTCATACCTCAGATGGTTGAGTAACACTTTTTAAAAATTGTATGACATCAACAATGACATTATTACCAACGAAACACATGCATAACAATCGTATATGAGTATAATTCCCAAACCTTAAAAACAGTAAATTATCTTACATATTATTACCCATTATATTATTACGTATTATATTATTACATTTTACATTTTTTACAATTTACATTTTTTTAATTATACAAATTACATTTACAAATACAACTTAAAAAACCACAATGTTTTAGTTATTTCTATTTACAATTAAATGTTTTGTTAATTTTAAAACCAAAAAAAGAAGTATAAAAATATACATACGGGCTTATTATTTTATGGTCTTACAATTTTTTACTTCATATGGCTCATTTGTTACAGTTTAAGTCACGCCCTCTATTACATTATACCATTGTTCATCAATCTGCATACCATTCGATAAATTTACTAGATTATTATTACTATTTTTTATTATTTCAATATGTTCTTTAAATTTGCGTTTATATATTTCCTTTTCATAATGTAATATTTTTATGTTATTCCTGTCAATCTTACAATTATTAATATTTATGTGATCGAACCAAGGGGAATTGTTATATTTTAATTTTATAGCGGCTTCATGCTCTTTAATTCGTAATTCTAATTGCCTACCTGTTTCACCTATATAGTTTTTTGGATTTATACAATCACACCTTATTTTATATACAACACCCGATTTTTTTAGTTTGTCTACTTTATTTGTATGTTTTATATTATCAGAATGGATGTTGTGTGAGATTTTATTAATTAAAGACGGGGCCAAAACTATATTTTCTTCCTTTAAAATTTTATTATAATTATTATGTATATCATTAATATAAGGAAAAGATTTATAAGTTTTATTAATTTTATATTTGGTATTAAATCGATTTTTATAATATTGTTTATGCCATTTCTTCAATTTATACATCGGATAATTATTCAAAATATATTTTTTATCTAACTTTTTTAATTCAGTTTTTCTATCATTTTCATCCAAAGTTCTAGTATATATATTTTTTATATCCATTATGTATGTGTTCTTCTTGATGGTTTCAGGTGTATAAGAGTAATAATTTATGGTTTTATTTACATCACATGATTTTTTATATGTTTTGAAAGTAAATTTATCTATTTTATTAAATATAGTGATATCTAAAAAGTTTATTTGATTGTGTTTCTCTTCTTCAATTTCAAATTTTATATTCTCATTTATATTATTTATCTTATTTAATATTATTTCATCATTAGTTATTTTTTTATTATAAATTACTAAATAATCATCTACATATCTCATTACACCCTTTACACCTGGAATGTTTTTTATTTTTTTATCTATGTTTATCATCACTAACTCTGCTAGTCTTGGCCTCATCTTCGACCCCATACTGATCCCATCTATTTGTTGGTAGAATTTATTGTCTATCTCAAAGTAGTTATTATTATAAGCAAATTTGATAAGATCTTTTAATGTTTTTTCTACGTTTAACTCTTTTAAGCTTGTTTCAATTAGATTCCATTTTATGTTTGGGTACATGTTCTTAACGTCAAGACTTATTAACTTATCAGTTTTTTCTTTTTTTATTTTTCGAATATTATTTATAGCTTCATCCGTATTCTTTATACTATTTTCAGACCTTTCTATATTTTTTAATTGTCTTTTAACATAGTTTTCCAAATTGTATAGTACTGTATAATGAAAATCTACAATAGGTCTGTATTTTTCTTCCTGTTTGTGTGCCTTTAACCTTACTTTCAATTTAGGGGTTCTATTATTCTTAAAATTAAGGACATAATTTTTATCATTATCCGTTATACTATTATTTAAATGCATTTCTTTTATTTATTGGAATAGCTTTTATTGCTTTTATTTTTTATAGCTTTTATTGGAATAGCTTTTTAAAATTTTGGATAAATATTCCTATAAAATTAGCCTTCTTTTCTTTTTTAATCGGTAAATCTTTTACACTTTTAACAATATTTTCAGGCCCGTAGTAGATTCGGCCGTATCCACAATGTATGGACGGCTGGTTGGGACGAAAATCAACATATCCGTAAAAAACGACCTATAATAATTTTTAAAGTTTCCGACCTGAACTCGAACCTGAGTCTACCAGAACGGCAGAGTGGCACCTTTACCGCAATGCCATCCTTCTGTCTGTTTAGGATACGGTGAAAGCTATAGACCAGGTTAGGATTGGGCAATCCATTCGTGCGATCGATGGTAGTGATCGAATTTTTCACCGGATGCTCGCCCTCTAATGTTTAAAACAAAACTATTTTATCTGGGTTGTTTGAATCATTTCAGTGAATTCTCAACCGTAAAGATGAAAGATAGAAAAAGCAAAGCTTTCTGTTGTGTTCGAAATTGCAATTTCAAAGCCACACGAGAACCCAATATAAGTTTTTCTCTATTTCCACATGAAAAACATTATTGATGAATTTTCTAATGGAAGCTGTATTATGTGTTAAATAGGTAAATGTCTCTTCAATCCGAACAAATTTTCGGTAGACTTTCTCACAGCTGTACAGGTTATAAAACTCCTTTATTGTTTACATATGCATTTCGGGCAAGTTTAATTTTCTAGCCCCTCTTCAGTGCTACAAAACAAAATTCATATTGAATTTACACAAAAACAACTCGAGTAGAAAATGTTTACAAGACATAAAAAGACATTTTATAATACCTTAAGATACTCCACATGTTTCATCATCCTTTTCACAGTACTTGTACTATAAATTTGTAATGTTTTCTAATTTATAATATCTTTGACAATTTCCATTTTTTCTCTTAAGGGCGTTTTACATCGAAATCCATATCATTATGCTACACAACTAATTACAAATTATAATTATTAGTAACATTTTAATCCACTTATTTATAACAAATTTTTTCCTTTAAAAAAATATTTACTAAAAAAAATACATACATGTTTTTCTTTAAAAGTGTCACAACAATAACAGAGTAGTATACGTTGTATAAACTTTAAAAAGGTTCAACATACAATAAAATTTTCATTTACACGACAATGTATAATCTTAGAAATATAAACTATTGACTTGTTGCGCCCCCTATCATGTTATACCATTGCTGGTCGATTTGCATGCCATTGGAAATGTTTATTAAATTATTACCACTGTATTTCATTATTTCTATATGTTCTTTGAATTTACGTTTATATATATTTTTCTCACAGTGTAGGATTTTAATATTATTTCTATCTATTTTGCAGTTACTATTTTTGATGTGGTTATACCAAGGTGAATTATCATGTTTTAACCGTATGGCAGCTTCATGTTCTTTTATCCGTAATTCCAAAGTTCGACCCGTTTCACCTATGTATTCTTTAGGATTTTGACAGTTGCAATTAATTTTGTAAACAGTTCCAGTTTTTTTCAATTTATCAGTATTGGTTTTGTATTTTCCTAATTTATTTGAGATTTTATTTGAAATTTTATTGGTCAAAGATGGGGCCAAAATTATATTGTCTTTTTTAAGGCATTTAGAGCTATTATTATAAATATCAGCTATGTAAGGGAAGGGTTTGTAATTTTTATCTTTCTTATTTTTTGTTATAAATCTATTATTGTAGTATTGTGTATGCCATTTTTTAAAAGGTATTTTGGATAACTATTAAGAATGAATTTATAATCTAATTCGTTTAATTCAGTTTCGCGTTTCTTTTTACTGGTAGTTCTAGTATATATCTTTTTAAATTCCATTGTATATGTATTCTTTTTTATACTTTCTGGGATATATGAATAATAACTGATTGTTTTGTTTACATTGGATGGTTTTTATAAGTTTCAAATGAATATTTCTTTTTTCTTTTGTTATAGTTATGTTCAAAAAATGAATTTTATTGTGTTTTTCTAATTCTATATCAAATTTTATATCCTGGTTTATGCTATTTATTGTGTTTAAAATTATTTTCTTATTTGTTATCTGATTATTAAAAATTAATAAGTAATCATCCACGTATCGTACAGTTTTCACCCCAGGAATGTTCATGATTTTATTGTCAATATCTTTCATTACTAATTCTGCAAGTTTTGGACCCATCTTTGACCCCATGTTAACGCCATCTGTTTGTCTGTAAAAGTTATTATATACTTCAAAATAATTTCTTTTATATGCAAATTCTATAAGTTCTAGTAATGATTAATTTTTAATTGTGTAAGGCTGTTTTTTATTAATTCCCATTTTATGTTTGGATACATATTTCTCACATCTAAACTTATTAATGTGTCTGTTTTTTCTTTATTTTTTGAATTCTGTTAATTACGTCATCAGCATTTTTTATACTATTTTTGGAACCTTCAATGCTTTTTAATTGTTTTTCAATATAATTCTCTAAATTGTAAAGTACTGAATATCTAAAATCAACTATGGGTCTATATTTTTCATCTTGTTTATGTGTTTTTAATCGTATGTTTAATCTTGGGGTTCTATTGTTTTTAAAATTAAGTATGTTATTTTTATCTATTTCATTAATCTTATTGTTCAAATACATACCTTTTATTTTCGAATAGTGAGAAAGTCTACCGAAAATTTGTTCGGATTGAAGAGACATTTACCTATTTAAAAACATTATTATTCAAAAATCAGAAATTGAATCTCATAAGTATAACCGACAGAAAGAGTAGATTCCACTGTTAAGAATTGGCAAAAACGTTTCCCGATTGTCCAACATTATGCGAACAAGTTCTACTGCCAATTTTAAAGTGTTTTTCCTTAACCTATACTTTTCTTCAGAACACGAAACGAATATAACCAAAATTTCATTTGGATTGGACAAAAATTGAAGGAGTTATGAGGAATTCATACACAGAGGGGTATACAGTATTTTTTATATTGTCAAATAAAAAATGCTTTTGTATAATAATTATAATCAACAATTTTAGAATAATAATAGTTTTTATATTAGTATTTATTGTTATTAATTAAATACAATGAAATGAACGTTACATTTACAAAAACAAATTTTCCGACTCTCGAGAAAACGGTTTTACTGATTCGGGAATTCAAAAACTTCGGGAATACAATCATTAGTCACAATATTACGATATTTAAATATGTTCTTTCAGAGATTTATACAATATTAACTAATTAATGATCATAGCAGAAATCAAATTTCTTTCCTATTTTTCTATTTGAATCGTTAAATAGAATCTAAAATTGTACATGACACTTTATTTACCTTCTGATTTAGTAGTATAATATCGTAATTAACCAAAATATACTTAACATTCGCACGAAGTACAAAAATAGGACTAAGAATAGAGGCCAATTTTAACATTACAACTTCAGAACATAAAATTAATGAAATAACTAGTGTGTTAGTTCTTAAATTTATATTATTTAACTTGACAATTTACTCGTCCAAATCTATTATTTTCAAACTAAATTTGCACTAATGTTGCTCTTTAAAACGACATTGACATAATTTCTGAGATATTAAGAGTATTCACCCCATCACCAACTTTTCAATACAATATTGAACAAATGTTAAAACATAATTTATCCAATACAAAAGAATGTACAATGTTGCAACATGATTTAATTTGCTTCGAGACGAAAAATATCGCATTTTATCACTACATTTTCATTCGTACCATACTAAAACTATGCGTGCAAATTCTCTAAGTGGTAAATATTCCTCACAATCGAAATTGTAATTTTCGGGTGGATTTCACACTACAAATACAGGAGAATAGTGATGAACAACAAAGGTAACTCTGCTTTGAACGCTTCCAGTATTGCATTTATATCTTTCTTCCATATTTTAGAAAAAATGAATGCAAAACGCGATGCAGGCGCCTGGAGATCTCAACTTTACCCTGCCCCACGCTCATCCCCTACTCTTCCCATCTCTCTTCCTTCCTTCCGTTCTTTACCACCTCCAGGTTGTACCTCTGTTGCCTGTAATGTAATGTAATGTTGGTGAGTGAACATTAAATGATAGTTGGAGTTTTTCTCCTATAATGTTGTACAAAATTTTTTATTATTCAAAAATATACAGTAATTTTGTTGTTAATTATTGATGAAACAAAACACCTGGACATCCAAGGAGCACCTCCCAACATTCAAATCCTTTCTCATGAAGTATTTGTTGTAAGATATGCTTTTGTTCTTTCTGCCTTTGGCTTGAATTGTTAGCAACAGATAATAAAATAAATGCACAGCCTCCACCTCCTGCTCCAGTCAATTTAGCACCAAGTTTATTTGCAGTGGCTATTTCAACAATAGTATTGAGTTGAGGATGACCTACTCCAAGAGCATTTAATAAATGGTGATTTATTGTTAGCAGTTCTTGTAATTTTTCTAGCAAATCATCAAATGTTTGGTCTTTATATTCTTCTAACATTTTCCATGTACTCTCACTTATGCAATTTATAGCAGACATTACATGATTGATGACTTCTTTATGCTTATCATATTGCTTCCTCAGAACTGCAACTAGTGCTTTAGTATTTCGTGATACTTTAGTATTTATTAACATGACTTCAATAGATGGAATTAAAGAGAGTTTTTCTAATATTTCTCCATTTTTAAATAATAAAGCTCCACCATAAGTACAGATTGAATTATCAACTCCAGATGGCTTCCCATGAAGTATTTTTTCAGCTTCATATGCCCATTTACTGACTAATGAAAGTTGCTCATCTGTTAATGAAGTAGGAGAAATTTTTCCACAAATAGCTAAAAGACTTGCAGCTATACAGACAGAATAAGAAGCTGATGAACCCAATCCTGCACCAATTGGTAATTGTGAGGAAATAAAAACATGAAGTGGTAGATAAGAACACTTATATTTTTTAAATATACCAAAGTATAAAAAGAGAAAGGTAAGAAGGGATAGATGACAAGCTTCACTTCCAGATATCACAACTGAATCTGTAAGGAATTTCAAACGTCTTTGCCATTCATTTGTTAATGTGATCACATTACTATCATCATCATCATTTTCTGCTATTTTCATTTCATTGATCTGCTGTAAACTCCATTCTACATCAATTCCTACATTAGGAATAACAATCTTTAATTTGGAATCTTCTTTACTCACATCAATTTCTATTTTGGTTCTTAATCCAACACTAAAAGCCACAGCAGACTTTCCATATACAACTGCATGTTCTCCATGCAGGATAATTTTACCCGGAGCAGAAACAATCACTCGAGACATTCTAATTATATCAATATGTTTATATAGTAATCGATCAAATATAAACAAGTTATTCACTGTATCTAGTCTATTATATACGTAAATATGTATCTTCTTATGATATGAAAGTTATAGAATAATGTAGAAGAGGCTCTAATTCTAAGATTACGACCAAAGATGAACTAATGTAGACATAACGAAAAACGTGACGGAAGTGTAGTGTTACTGTCATGCCGCATAACTTTAAATGTCAATTTCAATCAATTCAAACTTTCGTCAGAGGTCAAGGACACGTCAATATCACATGATTTCCGGTCATTTTCTCCTATAATTGAATAAATGGTTAAACATGAATATTGGTCGTCATAAAAGCTATAGTTGTGAAAAATGCAAGTACTTACTGTCCTTATTTTTATGGAAGAAGACACGTGCATGGAATAATTCATCTTCTGTCAGTGTAGTTAAGTCTGGGAAAATATGATTTCACACAATGGCAAACATTAAATGGTTCCAAATGAAACTATAAGTACTGAAAGTTATCACTATATCCGACGAAAGAACATTGTTTTTCAGAATTGTCTGCTAAGGTGTTCAGTATTGAAATTGGTATTTTCTGTTAAAAAAAAAAAAAAAAAAAAGATAAATTAACTAGACAAAGTTCTTTCTATTCATACATTTATCACACCAAAAGTATGTTTATTGTTGAATTTTCTAATGGTAGCTGTATTGTGTGTTAAATAGGTAAATGTCTCTTCAATCCGAACAAATTTTCGGTAGACTTTCTCACAGCTCTACAGGTTATAGTAAAAAAATTAAGCACTGAAGAGGGGCTAGAAAATTAAACTTGCCCGAAATGCATCTGTAGAAAAACAATAAAGGAGTTTTATAATCTGTAGTTGTTTTTCTACAGATGCATTTCGGTCAAGTTTAATTTTCTAGCCCCTCTTCAGTGCTTAATTTTTTTACTATAACCTGTAGAGCTGTGAGAAAGTCTACCGAAAATTTGTTCGGATTGAAGAGACATTTACCTATTTAGTATGTTTATTGTTCAAATTGCTGAATAGTTAAAATAGAAAAAAGACAATAAATACAGCAATTTTAACACACATTTCTTTGTTAATATTAAATGTGAGCTGTTACTTTTTATTTTGGTTGGTTTTGGTTTTTTGGCGCAAGAGCATATAGGCTAAGCTGCGCCAGGGCAAATGGTGGAAAATGATAAACATCATAAATAACAAACATAAGACATAAATAAATAAATAATCAAATCTCTCTCTATATATATTAATGACTTTCAGAAAGTCCACTATATTGTCCAGATTTGGCCTCTGGCCCAAAATCTCTCTCAAACTTGCATTTCAGAAATGCTGTCTACGACTTTGATCAAAAGCAACGCAGTTGCAAAGTATGTGTTTAAGGACATTTATTAACATAAACGAAAATTTAAAACAATTATAAAACCCAATTTTGGAAATTTGCCTATTTTTATCTATACAACGAGGGGGTGCCTAACGGGGGAGGTATTCGAACTTACGTGACTCACAACATACCAGGTAAACAAGATGTCTTCTCTTGTGACGGCCAAGACTGCGGAGGTTTCTGGTGTTTGTTGCACTTCGTCTTGTGCTTGCTCTTTTTGAGTCGTCTTCTCTTGAACCAATCTTGCTCTGGTGCTCATCTGGTTTCACTCTCTGGATCTCTGTCTGTCTGATTGTAACTGCGACTCTAACTCGTTCTGCAACAACTCTTTCTGTGACAGCATCTGCAACTCAACTGCCTTTCTCTGACTGGAGCTGTGTCTCCAACTGCTGAACTATCTCACTGTCTCTTTCTAGCTGGACTGTGTCCCCATCTCTAACTGTACTTTCTCTGGTTGGAGCTCTCCTTTTAAACCCTTCCAGCACGAGAAAGTTCATCATCGGGTGATGATTCATTGGCAGTGTCATTATTGTAGCTGAGGCTGTGTTTTCTTATTTGGTGATGACGTCGAGCTTTCGTAGAGTCATCTCTGAGTTGGTGTTTTCTTATCTCTGAGTTGACATGACTCACCTTTGCTCTTAGTCATTGTTTGTTCATTGATTGCTTTGACTAAGTTCTTCATGTAAACATTGCCAAAAACAAGGAGGATGCAATGTTCCCCATTTCTATATATATCTTTGACTATTTAATTGCTCCTTCCTCTTTTCTTTGGCATGTTGTGAGATTTCTGATAGTTGGATAATAAACCGTTTTATTCTAATTAATTTAAGTTGATATTGAAATTTGGAAAAGGGGGAGTTCTTAGATTGGTAAAATAGGCGAGTTTCCTTCTACAACTTTGGTTGTTATTCAAGATACAATTAAGATTCACGCAAATACATAATTAAAAAAGATAAAGTAAATAAACAAAAATTATTACAAATAAGTTTACAAATACATATATTTTTGGAGGGGGAAGTGGTGGTCTTCACAGTACCACCGCTTATGCCGACGATGTTCTTATACTCATTGGTGGCAGGTCTCAAGCAGATTTGGAAACAAAAGGAACTGAAACCCTAGTGATGATTCGTGAACGGAGTCAAAAGCATAAACTCCACTTTAATCCTGATAAAACCAGGGCAATAGTAATGAACAAACTGGGCAACCCAACCTTTACCGTCGCATGCCCATCATTAAAATGGACAACAAGAGTATTAATGTTGTAAAATCCAAAGGGTACCTGGTTGTGCCTAAGCTGGCACGAACATATCAAAGACATCTCTAAATGTACTGGTCAAATCTTCAATGCTTTTGCAAAGATTGCAAAGAACAAATGGGGTTAAAATCCGATGCTCTCAGCCTTATCTACAACCAGATACATGTATTCATTGTCACTTATGCTTGTGGTAGCTGGGGGTGGGCTGCACATAAAGTCCACCTCAAAAGAAAACTTGTCTCTTCCCAGCGCAGGGCCCTTCTACTTATCTCAAAGTCCTACAGGACGACACCGAACATCAGCCTACAAGTCATTACTAGTTCAGAAAACACTCAACCAGAAATCACTCGGAAAACATATGCTCAAGCCTTAAGTAAAGGAACAAAACTGAGTGGCACTACTTTGGAAATCACACAAACAATTACTTCTAAAATCCAGAAGGAAGGAGATAGTGGTAGCCACGCGGTGTTAATCTATCCAAACTTAGAAAATGAAGACGGAAATATTAATATTGAGGAAATACAAGAAGAGATTACAACAGAAATAAAGCCGCAGGAACTGGGAATAAAAGTAAAAGGAATTCGAAAAATTAATAAAGGAGGAATCTGCATAAGAGTCAAGGACAATACAGATGGCGAAATTTTAAAGAGCGCCATAGTTGAAATTCCTAACTTAAACAACAAAATAAAGTGCCATGTTGCAGGTGGTAGGAGACCGCGGGTCATATTACTGAATGTTCCCAATTCGGTGGAGGAAGAACAACTGATTGAAACTATATATAAGCAGAATAACATATGGGACAATCTACAGAAAGAAGATATATTAAACACCTGCAACATAAGTATAGTGATAAACAAAGGGAGAACTAACCACAACTGCAGGCACATTGTGTTGTCGGTGACTCCGGAGCTGAGAAACAAAATAATTAGCAACAAATACTTGTCAATTGCATGGGCCAACATTAAAACGGATGATTTCATCCCAATTAAGAGATGTTTTAAATGTTGTGGTTTTAATCACATTGCTAATGAATGCGAGGACGATTTACGCTGTAGCCATTGTTTAAAATCACATAAATACGAAGAATGCCCTATGCGAAACAGCACACCATGCTGCATTAATTGTAGCAAATTTAACAAAAATCAACAGGCTAGTAAAAAAGTTCCATCTNAAAAATGGTAAACATGTTTTGATGGTTTCCATCGATTACAAAAATGCTTTTAACTCTCTATGGTGGCCAGCGCTCTTCAATCGTTTAAAACAATTCCAATGTCCTAAAATCTTTATCTTACTCTAAGGAACTACTTACAAGACAGGGAAGTATGCATTACGGACACAGCACAAGTAATAACAAGACAGCAAATTTAACAAAAATCAACAGGCTAGTAAAAAAGTTCCATCTAATCATAATGCATTTAGTCAAAAGTGTGAAATTTTAAAGAGAATAAAAGCAAGAACTGTTCAACTAACTGACTATGGGAACTAATAATACCGACAATAGGAAACAGCTTAAACAGCCAATACAGGGTAATTTCAATGTGTCACAGACTAATGTACAAGGACGCAAAGCGGACAATACGGAAGCATGTCGTAATAATCTAGTATTTTTAAATATTAACACACAAAGGTCGAAAGCAGCCTCATCGATGGTTAAAAAGATAGCAGAAGAACAGGGGGCGGATCTCATATGCATCCAAGAACCATACTTACTTAACAACACCATAGTTCGCTATGGCAGATGGAAAGTTTTTCCAACATCTAATTTTTGCGACATTATTAAAACTGGAATACTGGTCTGTAACAAAAATCTTAAAGTTCACTTCAGCCCGGCCTACAGCACCAAATATGTGACAACAGTACAAATCTTGCACAGCGACAAACAACTATTCCTGTCATCAGCCTATTGCTCACCGAATGAAGACATTCAGAATCTTATTGGTGACTTACAAAACATAAAGGATCAGATCAATTCTTCCCCATGGATCGTCATTGGGGATTTTAATGCTAAATCCCCAATTTGGTTTGCACCGAAAGAAGACCCTCGAGGATACTCAGTGACTGAATTCATGGCAATGAACAATCTGGTTTCTTGTAATACAAGCTCTCTGCCAACCTACTTTTGCTCAAGGGGTGAAAGTTGGGTGGACATTTGTTTGGCCAATTTGAACGCTCACAAACACATCATCTTTTGCAAAACCCTCGAGGAGGTCAGTGCTAGTGACCATAGATATATCAAAACAATCCTGAAAAATTCAAAAACTGATGAAGAAGCTCAAAATGAAACTGTCCACAATACCAATTGGAGTATTTTCCAAGATCTTTTCAACTATCATTGGGCACATCCCAA